TAAGGGCAATATAGACATTCTAAAAAAGGAATAGTTGCTACCAACTCATCTAGCAACTTTTTGGCAAGGATTTTCTGTACATCTAGCATTACCCTTGAAAGCATTATGTCTGTAATTTTATACCTTAATTTTGTAATTGAGAAGAAATCTAAAGATAGATTTATAAATATAAGGGAAATTGACATAAAATGTACTTAACATATGACCCTTGTGAGCAAGTGGTCTCCAACCTTCTTTTCTCGAGCTGGCCTTCTCATCCTATTTTTCTCTGTGCAAAAAGTTCTTTTGGATGATTTACATTCATTATTGTCTTTAAGGGTGTGTTTGATTGTAAAAATGAAATTTGTATAGAAAGAAAATAAATTATAAACAATTCAATGACCTAAAACTTATTTATATGGAAATTATTAATTAAACGTGTTGATTGATTTAGTTTTCAATCTAAAAAATATTATACTTATCCATTTTTTATTGGTGGATAGATTAGAGAGATGGTGAATTACCTGAAAAATAAAAAAATCACTCCCTAAAGAAAATGTTTTCCTTATTTTTGAGGAAAATATGGTCAAGTAACCAAAAGTTGAAAAATAATTTTCATGAAAAAATTGTCAATCAAATATCCCAAAGCCAAAAGTAGGAATTTGGGTAAAAATAATATTTTCATGGAAAATAAAGCCAATCAAACACACTTTAAAAATATGTCCTTGTTTTGTGAAGATTAAAATCAGACTTTTAATATATTTTGATAAAAGTTGATAAAATGTATTGTTGAAAAGTTTCAGTCCTACAAAATATGTAATTAAAATTAGGATCTTACTACATGTACATTAATATTTATATAATGAATTACATAATGTCACATGACATTTTACCATTTGTCAGTTTAAAACATAATCAATTTTTTCATCCAATTTTCCCTCCACGTTATATTATATAATTTATTATATACATTTTTATGTATAAGTAGCAAAATCCTTAAAATTAGTTGTTAATTTTGATTCAGAAAAATTTAGATTTTAATTCTTTCAAAGCAAGGGTTATACCTATTTTAATTTTTCAACCACACATTTCATTAACTTTTGCCCTTATTTAACAATAACTAAAATGAATTTTTTGGGAAAAATGTGTTTTCAAATAGTGATTTTTGTGAAACGAGACATCAATATGTATCTTAAGACCAATATTGTGAAAAAATGATTCATTTATACTCCTTTAGCGTGCAAAAAGAAGAGAAAATTGTGTACTTCAGTAGAGTATTTATATTTTAAAAGTTTTTGGCATTCTCTCACTTTTTAGAAATTAACTCTTATCATCTCAAAGGCGCTTCGAACTCGTACCAATGATCGAGGCTTCAGTTATACGATCTGAATTGCTCTTTTGCCATCAACATTGATGATTCCATTTTTTTATTTTACGTTTTTATATCATGCGAAGTGAGAATAAAATTTAATGTTTTACGTTGTAATTTTGGATGCTTTTAATGTTATGTCTCAAGTTGTCAAAAATTCTTTTTGATTCCCCAATTTCAATAAAAGTACGCTGCAAAAGTATATACAAGGAGAAAATAATACCATTAAGAGAAATATGGGAATTAAGAGATTTACCAAATTTAATATATAGAGCTTGTTTGGTAGGAATTTTTTGGAAAAGAATTGATTTTGAATAGTGATATGATAGGAAATGTGTGGTTGAAAAACAAAAAAAATTATTGATGTGATGGAAAATATTATTTTATTGAAAAATGTGTGGCTGAAAATGAGAATCAATTCTCAAATAAAAAACAAACACCCTCATAATTATACCTGCAAGAATTGATGGAAACCATTCGAAAAGTCTTTTTGCGCATAATCAATACGATGAGGGGTCAGTGCCAAGAATGAAACATTAGGGACCATTTTCGCACAGGGACCATTTGCTAGGGATTATTCGTGCCAATTTTTTAAAATTTAATGGACCTCAAACCTCAATAAATTTCCCCGGAGGTTGATAATTAATTTTAAGTGATGGTGCTTAGTAAACCATTTCATAGATCGAGTTTGAGTATAATCTTTTGGAGTTTCAGTGGCAGAAGGTTAGGTTTTGCATAAAATAAGATATCAATTAGAGCATGTTTGAGCTCCATTTTTTTTTTTTTTTTTGTTCAAAATGCATTTTGGAATAATATTTTAATGAAAAATGAGTGGTTAAAAAATACGAAAAAAATTTGAGTTTTCGTTTAATATTATTTTATTGAAGAATGTGCAGTTAAAAATAACTGCCCTGTTTGATAAGCCTAATTTTGCAAGGAAAATGGATTTCCATTTTTCACTTTTTAACATGGTTGATAGATTTTATTGTCCAGGCAAAATATTTTCTCTTTCTATCGTCACGCGCCCTATTTTCCAGACAGTGAAGGAATACGTTTTCCAATCATTCAGCATGTAATCCATTTTCCACCCAAATTAGAATTCACCACGCCCATTTCTCTTTCCCTTCTCTCT